CAGTCGGTCGGTCGGCAAATACAAAGAGAAGACGGCCTAAGCGACTGTGCACTGTGATTCTAACTAGGTCCTGACGTCATCACAGTGGGCGTGGCTTTAGTTAGTATACTGTCAGCGTTCGTCCTGTGCGCTTATGTGTCGAAAATCGCAAATCGGTGTATTTTCGTAGAAGAAAAGGATAAAGTGTTGTGTTTTATCGTGTAAAAATTACTCAGATAGACGCCCAGATGCTATGAATGGCATCACATTTCATTTGTAACTAATTTTATACCTAATTTATTAAAATAGTTCTAGAAAAATCTCTGCGTCGGCTGTCAAATGTAATTAAATATAATCGACACTAGATGGTGACACTTTGTGTAATGTACGTAGAGCTCAGTATTAGTAAAATAATCATACTAAGGTTGAAGGAAAATTCTTTAAGATTGAATGCAAAACAAATTTCAACAATTTTTTTGCATTCTGTGCTAAAGAATTTTTAATCGCCAAAATATAATTTTTATAGTTTTTACTAGTTCGCCAGGCAGACGTTGTTCTACCTATACCGACGACCCTACCGTCCTATTAAAAAAATCCTTAAATGCGCAATAAAAAATTTTGAGGTTCATTTATCTGGATAAAAACTATCCTATCTCTCAAGTTGGGCCAAAATGCACACAGTGTGCAAAATTTCATTGAAATCAGTTCCGTAGTTTAGGACTCCATCGCGGACAAACAACGTGACACGTAATTTTTATATATAAATATAATCATTTTGTGAACAGATCGCCATCTATCGTCAAGGTAGCTAAACTACATTGCAACATCGATATGGAACGATGCGCGAGTAGTTTTTTTTACTACTAGCTGTTCCCCGCGATTTCGCCCGCGTGTTATTTGGGTTTTAATTTTTTAAATGTGTAGATTTATCGGTAGATGGAAAATAGTGAAGTGGGCGGGTTTAACATCCCCTCACCCCGCAAATTATCACGCGTTGTTTAATAATGAAATCTAATTACAACACCTCTTTCTACAAAAACATTTTTAAATGAATTGCACACAGAGGAACGCGCGTATGCGTAGTTTTTGCCCATGAATCACATTTAATTTGGGATAGATTCAAATTAAAGCAGAAGCTTTATTTACTCGTATTTTCAAAAACTGCAATAAGGGTATATCATTATTTATATTTTTGAACTTAAATTTAAAATTCAGGCGTTCATGTTTCTATAAATTCTCAGCGGGTGGCTTAGCTTCGATCGCGCGCCTAGCCAAGTTTTTTTTTATAGGATAGGGTGACAAACGAGCACACAATCCACCTGATGGTAAGTGGTTACTGTGACCCATACACATCTACATCTATCCTCAATAAAGACTCAAGATGCAGATGCGTTGTCATCCATGAGGACTAAGATGGAATGCCTCTTTGCCAGTAAAAAGGGTCTCCGGTTCTCTACACTCACCATACGAAACACAGCAGCATTAAGCTGCTATTTTACGCTGGTTTTCTGTGAGAGCGTGGTCCTTCCCCGATCGAGCCGACCCATTCATGCTACAACTATACTACTAATATAGCTGCAGCATGGCTCTACCACATAAGTGTTTAATTTTTGCAATTACTCATTACCTCTTAAAATCTAAATAAAGTCTAAATAACATGCTATAAAGAGCAAAGTTTATCTTCATAAAATTGTCTTGATGATGAAGTAAATTCCGTTCCTAAAGTAATAAATTGTCATGCCTAATAATACCGCTCATAAATTAATTTTTAATTTTTATTATTTTTTTGTCAGGAAATGCCTTATTGTGGCTTATGTATAAGAAATAGGCCTATGGTATCGCGACCTTTTTTTTAAATGGGGGAAAGATCTATACTTTTGTAGAACATTTTTACGTGGTAGAGCCATGCTGCAGCTATATTAGTAGTAGGTATAGTTGTAGCACGAGTTGGTCGGCTCGACCGGGGAAGGACGGCGCTCTCACAGAATGCCATTGTAAAATAGCAGCTTAACGTTCCTATGGTGAGTGTAGAGAACCGGAGACCCTTTTTACTGGAAACGAGGCTTTACATCTTAGTCCTCACGAGTGACAACGCAACACTCCGTGAATGAACAATTTTTGTTGGCTTTAACTCATTTTCGAACACCAAACCCGTGACTGGTTTTTTGTTTCGGGTTCGTACGCGTATATCCAGGATTCGTCACCTGATACGATGTTGTATGCAGCATTTGAGGATCCTGCGTGGAATCTTTCGAGAGTTCTGACGCACCAAGTAACGCGAGCCGCTTTTTGCTCTTCATAGAGCGAATGCGGTATCCATCGGGAAAACAACTTTTCTACACCTAATTGTTCATGCAAGATTATTTGTATTTGACTCATGCCAATGTCTAAAGTTGCCTGAATTTCGCGATATGTCACATGTCGATCTTCTTCAATCAGCTTACGCACAGCATCAACGTTTTCTTGGGTGACTGCAGTTTTTGGACGACCTTGACGGGGATCATCACTGAGCTTGACACGTCCACGTTGAAATTCAGCAAACTAGCGATAAATTGTGGTTTTGGATGGGGCTTCATCACCAAATGCAGAAATCATCCGGTCAACACACTGTTTTTGTGTTAAACCACTTCGAAAGTCATAATAAATCATCGCTCTTGAATTTCCTCGAGTCAATTCCATTTTCTCAACGACTAAACAAGTTTGACAAAACCTTGTGACAAGACCGAGAATCTTTTTTTAAATAAATAAATAGTATTCGATTTTTAAAACCAAGGACTTTTCAATTAAAAAGATTTTAATATGACAGAAACAGTGGAAATATTCCATTCCCGATACTTTTACTGCAGCCTATGTATTCTTTTATACTTGCTAGGAGGCTCCAATTATTTTATTATTTAGTATGCCTTGAGAAAGAAATAAATGGATTTTTAATTTTAATTCAATTTTTTTAATTTAATTTAATTTAATTTAATATCGCATAGTCTCGCAGGCTAAATTATAAGATGTATTAGTTTGTCTCTTTTTAGAGTCTTTTTTCGTTTCATCGCGTTTCAAATCACAACGATATTAAAGAAGTTTCACCATAGAATAAATAATAGTACAAGAATAGAAGAATCACTCTCTGATAGCATTTTTAATTTTAACTATTCTTTATTAGTAGGTAAATTCCCTACAATATAGAAAAATGTTCGGGTCATACCAATATATAAAAAGAGTGATGTATTGTCAGTAACAAATTACAGACCTATCTCTATACTTTCTTCTTTTTCAAAATTGTTTAAGGCAACTGTGTGTCCATTCCTAACACATCACATTGAAGTCAATTTAAGTGATTTTCAGCACGGTTTTCGAAAGGGCCATTCTACCAAAACGAGCCTTATCCCATTTATTTCACACATTTCACGCGAGGTTGACAAAGGATGCCAAGTGGACGTCATTTACACTGATTTTTTCAGCGCCTTTGATAAGGTAAACCATGCCCTGTTACTGAGCAAACTTGAAGCCATAGGAATTCATGGTTCATTACTTGCTTGGCTTACTTCATACCTAGAGAAAAGAACACAGTTGGTTGTGGTGTTACCTCAGGGTTCCCATCAGGGACCAATATTGTTCTCGCTCTTTATAAATGATATCACGAGTACGCTAAGGGCAAGCTACGTTTCCTTGTTTGCAGACGACCTGAAACTCTCGAAAGTTATATCAACAAATTTTGACTCTTTACTTCTTCAATATGAGCCAACTGGAATATGCGAGTACAATATGGAACCCAACATACGCTGTGCACTACCAAAGAATAGAAGGTATTCAGAAAGCCTTTACAAGACATCTTGCCTTCATATGTAGTGGAATTTCACATAGGTGTCCCTACGAACAACGATTGGCATTTTTTGAAATACCTTCCCTGAATAGTAGGAGAAAAATTCACGACCTGCTGGTATTATATAAAATAGTAAGCGGACGGATTGCCTGCTGTGAACTACTACAATATTTCTTCCTAAATCAACTCAATAATACAACATCCCTCGTCGTCCAATAACAAAACTGTTACACACTCCTCAATCCAGGACTAACATGGGGTCATACGCTCCGGTACCGCGAATGTGTGACACCTATAATTCACTCTGTGGTGTGTTGCCTACTGTCGATATTTTTCATGATACTTTCCCTAAATATAGGAAAATGTAATAGATCACTATTGTTACGAGCTTGGGGGTCGAGACAATTAAAAACTGCCGAGTGAATTACTAATATTGACACTTTAATTACAGAACACTAATTACAATTTAAAACCACACTAATAATAAAACACAATTGTACTACTGATCACTTTAGTTCGCAGTTATTTCGCTTCAAAGTATTCTCTTGTATCGCCAATTCAATACTGACTCGGTCGTGGTCTATACCGGCCTTATATAGGTCCTCAGATGGTTTCCAGAACCTTCTACTGTATCGACATCTAGAATGTTCGAGTACATATCGGTTCCGAAATTTCTAGAAGGATCTTCACTCTTAGTTTTGCTACTGGATACTAGAGGGCGCTAGTGGTAACTAGTATTGCCATGTACAAGATATTAATAGTGGCGCGCAATACTGCGCCCTCCTAAGACATGCTCGTCCCGAGCATTATTTGCCCCATAATAACGCGCCAGTCAATCCACATGGACGATCTTAGGAGTACCTCTGGCACCTTTCTGTATCCGGTAGGTTACGTCATTGATCCTTGTCACAATCCGATACGGTCCGTCCAATTTAGCTTGAAGCTTACTTACTGCGAACTGGATTGTGTAACCACACTAGTGAACCTTCGTCAAACCCTTTGTTGTTCATTTTGCGGTCATAACGTGTTTTCATCTTCTCAGACGTTTGCTGGCCCGTCTGTCTGACGTGCTCATAAATGTCATTCATTTTGTTCCGCAAGTCATTTGCATAATCGGTTATACTGCGTGGGGCATCAGGTGGTATTCCGGTAATCAGGTCTGTAGGCAGCCGTAATTTTCTCCCAAAGTTTGCGAAAGCTGGTGTCACTGATGTACTTTCGTGAACAGCGCTTCGATATGACAACAAAAACGATTGTATATGCCTGTCCCAGTCTCTTTGCCGTTTTTCACAACTTTTGCTAGGTACCTCTCCAATGTTTGATTAAATCGCGCTACCATTCCATCAGATTGTGGGTGGTAAGAAGTTGTTCTTGTTTTATGAGTACCCATAACTCGGCAAGTTTCCTCGAATATTTGAGACTCAAAATTCCTTCCTTGATCGCTGTGAATCTCTAAAGGTACTCCAAAACGACAGAAGACTTCATGAACTAGTAGTTTATCTGCAACTGTTGAAGCCTCTTCATTTGAAATGGCGAAGACTTCTGGCCACTTAGTGAAGTAATCCATTACAACTCTCCCATGGTGCACCAACATTGTACAATTTCAATGCACCTCTACTACGAGTCTGAGGTCCCTTTACATCCGCACAACTTGTACATTTGTGACACCAGTCCTCAACATCGTCACGACAGTGGACCCAGTAAAACCGTTCTCGGATCTTCAATAGAATTCGTTTAACTTCCAGATGGCCTCCTGAACAACCATTATGGTACAGCTGTAGAACGCCCGGTACTTTAGCTTTATAAACAACCATTTGCAAATGACAACTGTCTTCCCGAGCATTTTCCCATTTACGGCACAGGACTCCACCCTGAATCAGCAAGCTGTCCCATTAGGCCCAATAGCTTTTCGTGGTCGAACTCATCGCTAAAACATCGCTCCACTTGGGCTTAGGGGCACTGGCCTTCATCCATTCTAGAATCTGCTTGATGTCCGAATCTTCCTGCTGTGCATGTCGTAGGCTGTCCTTCCACTCATTGTTGTACTGGTCTTCACAGATACGACTTCCTTACCCTCTTGCCTAGTACAATGCTTGCAATCTTCAGGGCAAGGTCTTCTTGTCAATGCATCTGCGTTGCCATGAGATTTCACGCTGCGATGTTCGATCACAAAGTCGTATTCCTGCAGTAGATCAATCCATCTGCAATAGCTGCAATAGCCATTTTGTGCAGCATGGTCAGTTCGTAAGTGAAATTTTTGCCCCAGAAGATATTTGCTAAAATGCTGCAACGACTTTACCACAGCAAGCAATTCTCGTCTTGTAAAACAATAGTTCCTTTCCGGATTTGACAACCACTTCCTGAAGTACGCTATCACAACCTCTTGATCACCATTCCGTTGAGACAACACACCACCAAGTCCTATATCACTTGCGTCTGTGTCAACTATAAATTCCTTGCCCGCATAAGGGTACGCCGAAATAGGTGTTTTGCACAGACGGTCTTTGAGTTCCTGGAATGCGATATCGAAACTTTCATACCAGCAGAAATGTCGCTTAAATTGTGCAGAGGTTTGGAAATATATATATCTGCAAAGTTTTTCACAAATCGCCGATAATAGGAGCACAATCCCAAAAATGATCTAACCTGCGTCTTGTCTTTTGGAACCGGCCAATCCTTGACAGCGGCAATTTTCTTTGGATCCGTGCGGATGCCCTCTTACGACACTATATACTCCAAAAAGCTAACTTCCCGTTTGAATAGTGAACATTTCTTCAGAGTCAACTTGAGGTTGGCACTCTGGACCTTCATGAGCACGCGTTCCAGGTTTTGAAGGTGTACCTCAAATGTACGGCCTACGATGATGATGTCATCCAAGTAGACTAGACAGGCATCGCCAATTAGCCCGGTAAGTACAAGCTCCATCAACCTTTCAAACGTTGCTGGAGCATTGCACAATCCAAACGGCATAACTTTAAATTGCAACAAACCCTTTCCTGTCGAGAACGTAGTTTTCTCCTTGTCCTTAGAGGCAATTTCAACCTGCCAGTAGCCACTTTTTAGATCCAGCGTGCTAAACCACTTTACTCCTGTAAGCATGTCCAGCGTGTCATCGATTCTTGGCAAGGGATAGCTGTCCTTCTTCGTAACGTCGTTCAGACGGCGGTAGTCAACACAAAACCGCATGCTGCCGTCCTTCTTCTTTACCAGCACCACAGGTGAACACCATGGACTAGATGAAGGTTCAATAACACAATCCTTCACCATTCCCTCAATCATGGTTTCCCCTTCCTTTTCACATGCTAGTGGCAATCTTCTTGGTCGCTGACGGATAGGCAAGTCTTCTCCTGTGTTTATTTTGTGTTGAACTAAGCCAGTCTTTTCTATGTCAGCATCGTTTGCCGAGAAAACATCGGCGTACTTGAGTAACAACTTCTTCGCCTTGACCACTTCATTCTGGGAGAGAACGCTGCGACAGTCTTCTAAAAATGCGGTCACTCTTGTTTTTGCATCCTTGCTGGAGGTCCCAGTCGATAGATATTAGCACCAACGTAACCAATCCACTTCTTCTTCTTGGTACTAACCAACCAGTGTGCCTTTTTCTATAATCTGTTCCTGATCACAAAAGTTTAGCACACGTACTCCTGAGATGTCGGTGGTTCTGACCAAGGTTTGAACCACTTTCCATGGAAGGTCATTGTCTATCCTTTCCACGAGTACACAACGATGAGCTTGCCCAGGATTCCGAGGAAGACTAACCGGCACAATCGTTTCCGATCTCGGCGGAAGTACAATCTTTTTAAGGCTGTACATATTCCCTGGTAACGCCCCTTCCACAAAAAGTTCCTCTTGTCCACATTTCAAAACACCTTGCTTAACATCAATCTCACAACAATTCTGCCTCATAAAGTTTAGCCTAGGCCCAGGATGCAGTCGTCCATTATATCAGCCACGATGACATTATGCAGTTAGATCATGTTGCCTAGCTTCAACTCCATCTCCTTCTTTCCACGGACGGGTATGCGCTGACCGGTGGCTGTCACGAAATTAATGCGTTCTCGGTTGTATGCCGAGTCCCCAAGGAACTGGCTTATAAGTTAGGAACTGACAACCGTGCGAAAGGCTCCAGTGTCTATGGTTAGTTTACACGGCGTTCCGTGGACCTCGCCCTTGATGATTAGGCTGTTCCCTTCATGGGTAGTGAGATCGAAATCCTTGGGGCTCTTTTAACACCAGCCAGCACCCGCCCCGCAGTTCTGGCTTTTACTCGTTTCCCTGCTGCTGCTGGGCGATACTATTAGCCGCACTACCCTCTCGAGATCGATCACATTCCCTTTCTATAGTTCGCTTAGGGCAGCTGGATCGAATATGGCCCCTTTGCCCACAGCCGTAGCACCTAGGGCTGTAGCCTTTATTGCGGTCACGAACTGTAGCTGCTGCAACCTCCCTGACGCGATAGGAACGATGATCCTACCGCACGGCTTCCACCTTCGGTGCATGGTTCAAGGCGCCCTTAAGCGTCTCGTGGTACCCGAGCCTCACAGCAGCTCTGACTTCAAGGTCGCGGATGCCGTCGATGAATGTCTGCACCAGGTTCCCTTCAATGAGTGCAGGTACAGGCTGGTATGCTTTTCGAACCAGCTTCTCCACCTCAAGGGCCCACTGCTGCAGGTTTTCGTTACTGCGTTGCACGCGATCTTTGAGCTGCGCATGAAAGATGTGTTCTAGGTGAGCGTCGCCATATCTCGCCTCCAATACCTCAAAGAGCTGCTTACGTCGTAAGTCACTTCCTTACCGAGAGTTTCCAGAATAGTTAGGGCTTGGTCGCGCAGGCCTAGGGTGAGAGCAGTCATGGCCTGACCTTTATTCCAGCCGTTCGCCTTCATGACCGCCTCGAATTGGATTTTGTAGGCCAACCAGGAAGAAGTCCCATCGAACGGCGGCACTTTGAATCCGGGTAGCGAAGATGTTGTAGCTACCACGGGAGCTTTAACTCCATCCCAAAGTTTGAGGTCGTCCAGCGTTTTTTTTTTATAGGATCGGGTGACAAACGAGCACACAGTCCACTTGATGGTAAGTGTTTACTGTGACCCATAGACATCTACATCTATCCTCAATAAAGACTCAAGATGCAGATGCGTTGTCACCCGTGAGGACTAAGATGGAATGCTTTTTTGCCAGTAAAAAGGGTCTCCGGTTCTCTACATTCACCTTACGAAACACAGCAGCGTTAAGCTGCTATTTTACGCTGGTTTTCTGTGAGAGCGTGGTCCTTCCCCGGTCGAGCCGACCCATTCGTGCTACAACCATAATATAGCTGCAGCATGGCTCTACCACGTTTTCTTCACGTCAGCCATCACGTTGTCAACACGATTGTACACTTGGTCGATTCGGGTTTCAACTTCCGACAGGCGGTTGTCATATTGGACAACTCTATCCTTCACCTCCCTTATCTCTTTCCCGAAAGTAGCGTGAAGGTCCTTCATGAGGAGCATCTGCTCTTCCTTATCGCGTTTGAGCTGATCTTCCAAACAACGGGCCTGTTCCTCCTGTCCGCGCTGCAGCTGCTCTTCCAACCAACGGGCTTGCTTCTCCTGTTGGCGAGCCTGCTCTTGCAGCATCATCATCAGAGCACCAAAGTCAGGTGCTGCAGATGCACGAGCTTCTGACGGGTTGTCCTCCGTGGTCAACAGCTGGCCCTCCGACGTTTGCGGCATTGCATTACCAAATCTATCTGGTCCGTCTCCAGCTGGCGTTGACTTCAGGTACGGATACCCTCCATGTCGTCCTTTGGTAAAATCGGCATTATTTGTTCTGACACCAATTGTTACGAGCTTGGGGTTCGAGACAAATAAAAACTGCCGAGTGAATTACCAAAATTGACACTTTAATTACAGAACAATAATTACAATTTAAAACCACACTAATAATAAAACACGATTGTACTACTGATCACTTTAGTTCGCAGTTATTTCGCTTCGAAGTATTCTCTTGTATCACCAATTCAATACTGACTCGGTCGTGGTCTATACCGGCCTTATATAGGGCCTCAGATAGTTTCCAGAACCTTCTACTTTAGCGACATCTAGAATGTTCAAGTACAAATCGGTTCCAAAATTTCTAGAAGGATCTTGACTCTCCTAGTTCTGCTACTCGATACTAGAGGGCGCTAGTGGTAACTAGTGTTGCCATGTACAAGACATAAATAGTGGCGCGCATCACTATTATAAATCATTTGTGAATGATTTAATTATAATCTAATATCCATGTTCCCTACAACTGCTGCTTAGTTATGTGCAAGTTTTATTGTCTTGGTTATACATGTTTAAGTATTATTTTTGTGACATAATTCTTTAAGACGTGTAGTGGCAGTTAAGAATATCCACTACCCCATATCTTCCCGTGGGTGTCGTAAAAGGCGACAATGGGAAACAGGCAGGTGATGGGCAGCAGCATCTTCATGATAACAGCAATATCCAAAAAAAAAACTGCGGTTGCTAACCTGCTCGCCATGCGTGGCAACTATGGCAAGACACCCCCCAATGAAAAAAGTTACGAAAGGATGGCCCCCAGTCCACGGTGGCCCCGCTATTCCTGGCTACGGTGGCGACCATGGTAACGGCGGGGCAGGGGTGCTAAGAATCTCCGGTGGAGGTTCTACCGCCTACGACGACTCGACCTGGGAATTTATAACGCACGCACGCAGGACTGACGAAAAGATCCTGGAGCTGGAAGAAGGGATAGACAAGTTGCGCTGAAATATTATAGGATTATCCGAGGTCCGAATAGAGGGGGAGGACACGGTAATCCTCGAATCCGGCAACTTGCTCTATCACCGGGAGGGCGACCATCTGTCCCAAGGAGGTGTCGGATTTATCGTCCACAAGTCTCTCGTTAACAACGTTGTAAAGATCGGGAGTGTGTCGACGAGGGTTGCGTACCTTATACTCAGAATTACCAAACGGTATTCGCTGAAGGTCATACAGGCTTACGTACCAACCTTGGCACATCCCGATAAGGAGGTAGAGGAAATGTTTGAGGATATCTCCAGAGCCATACATTCCTCTAAAACCCACTATACGGTGTTAATGCGAGACTTCAATGCAAAACTAGGCACAAGAGAGAACGGTGAGCTGAAAATAGGGAAATTCGGAATAAGGCAACGGAACCCCAGGGGCCAGCAGATGGCCGACTTCATGGAGAAAGAGGAACTTTTTATGATGAACTCTTTCTTCTAGAAGCGGCCCCACAGGAAGTGGATCTGGTCGAGCCCCGACAGTTCGACAAAAAATGAGATTGAATTCTTTATGACGACCAGTGATCGCGAGGGTGAAAACTGGTAGCGATCACCGAATGGTTAGAGGCACACTGAACCTTAGCGTTAAGTTGGAGAGGTCTCGTCTAATGAAGTCCGTCCCCCTCGTGCTCTAGTCCAAAGCCTGCACGGAAGACGAGCTACGAAACCGTTTTCAGTTCCTTGATTGCAATTAAGTGGATGATGTAAATGATAAGCTCGTGGAAACTGTCCATGCGGTCGGAGCTAAGTTCTGCAAGACCCGCCGCAGAAGAACACAAAAACTCTCCGATCACACTCTTAATCTCATGGCTGTTAGACGAGAAATGAAGCTGCAGTCTTCAACAGATTTGACACTATACAGGCAACTGAACAGACGGATCTTCAAATGCATGCGGCAGGACCTCCGCAACTTCAATACAGCTTGTATTGAAGAAGCGATTGAGCGAAACCAAGGCTCCAAAGTCTTTGCCAGAGATCTGTCTGCCAGAAAGAGCCAACTGTCAAAGCTGAAGACCGAGTGTGGCAGCATCGTTTCCGGGATACCTAAGATTTTGAGTGAGATTGAGAGGTTCTATGGGCAGCTGTCCTTCAGAAGCTCTTTAATTCCGTCCTTCATGGTGGTACTACTCCGGAGGCGTGGAGGAGAAGTGCGGTGGTCTTGTTCTTCAAGAAAGGCGGTAACGCTCTCTTGAACAACTACAGACCGATTTCCCTTCTGAGTCGCGTCTACGTGCTGTTTTCGAGAGTCATTACGAATCGTCTCGCGCGCAGACTTGACGACTTCCAGCCTCCCGAACAAGCTGGTTTCCGAAAAGGCTTTAGTACCATATACCACATACACACCATTCGGCAAATTGTACAGAAGACAGAAGAGTACAATCTGCCACTTTGTCTTGCGTATGTGGACTATGAGAAAGCCTTTGATTCCGTCGAAATTTGGGCGGTGCTACAGTTCCTTCAGCGGTGTCAAGTTGACTATCGG